CCTCTTTTTCCAATCATCGAAACTTGGAGGCGTTGTGTGGATCGCCGGCCTTTCTTCGGGTGGCACACACCATTCAGTTTGCGCATGGAAATGTTGCTAACACCGAAAAAGTTAAGAAAATAGTACATGAAAATCATCGTGTTGGCATCACAGAGATAGCAGATGCTCTCAACATCTCTTATGGATCGACTCGCAAAATTTTGGTTAATATTTTCAATGCTTGACAACGTAACGCTGCTTTAGTGGTTCTGCAATTTTTTTTAAATCCTTATCGTTTGCACCTTCAAACTCATGAGCAATTATTTTATGTATTTATTTTAATTATAATTATCATCGATTTCGCGAAGTAAACTTTTTTTTTTCATTCTCATATAATAATAATTCTTTAGTGAAGACATTTAATAAAGCCGAATAAACGCTTTAATTTATTTCAGGAACTCTTACGTTTTTATTTGAATTCGCTGAGTGGACTTAAAAGGTTATCTCTATATTCACACTATATACAGCTTTTGCAGACTTTTTCGAGTGTGTTAGAGTGTTACACGTCTTTTTGTGTCCAACAAAATTGTGTAGGCGGTTTGCTCGACTGACCACTGATTGTTTCACAGACTCTGCATCTTTACCCGACACAAGAGCCAAGATGGCAAGCAAATAAAGACTAAGCAGGTAAATAATCAAACTAGAACCAAAAGCAACTGAGCTATCTATTTATATAACGACGCAAAAGCAAATGCAGTACATAAATTACATACTTATGTACATAAGTATGTACGTATCTTCCAATTTTTGCGAGGGACTGAGAGGCCGAAGATAAGAATAAAGAATAATACTTGCGCGCAACATGAACACTTGAAGTGTGTGAGAGAATCAGCTCGCAAGAGCTCATGCAGATTTATCTCTGCACACACACATAAATACATATGAACTCGTATTTACACGCAACAAATCCGCTGTAAGTCGGATTAAACCGTGCGTGCGGTAAGACGAAAAAATGCGACCAAAGGAAAAGGCGAAAGAAAATTGAAACAATAAATGTTTGTTTGTCAGTTGGTATGCTTTTCACAGTTAGAACAGAGGTATAATATAAACAACGTGTATCGCAGTGAATGTCAAAGTTAGTTGTTGCAAGGGAAATATAGGCGCGATTTAGTTTACTTTGCCTAACTTTGATGGTTGCACGTGCAGATTGTTAATGGATACTCTCAAAATTGTTTGGAAACCACAAACACCCAACAATACGAATCAGAGAAACAAGACTAATAGTTAAAATTTAATTTGTGAAGAAAAGTAAATTTGTGCTCTGCGGCAATATTCACGCTTTTTTTTTTGTTTAGTTAGTGTATATGTAACTAAAAGGTGGTCTCTAGCGGCCCGTGCAACAGTTAGGTTGAGTATTTACATTTGAATGCCTCACTTGAAACGATTTGAGCTGGAGCACATTTTCCATCGCTGCAAAGTTGGTGTGACTCTACACAATTTTTTTTGTTAAATCCTATGATCATATTAGTCTTAAGAAAGTCAGAAAATACGCGTCCACACCTTTTAGCGAATGTGCTGATTTCCACGGTAGACCTAGTTGAGTGTCAAATCGAACAAACAATTGAAACAAACGCAATTTACTTTACTATTACTCATTATCAGAAAATTCTCTGTTGGTCTTGCCCATTACATTCAGAAGGGCGAAACGGGTCCGGTGAATATATTTCAAAAACTCAAAAGCACAGTGACAAGAAACAAATAGAGTTTTTACTGTTTTTTTATATTAGAGATCAACTTGATTAAGGAACTTAATAAACTTTTCATTTTGACATTGATATATTCAATGATCCATTTTGAGCTCAGAACTGAAAAATACCGAGCATTGAAATTACCTATTTAAAAGTTCAGGCAATGTTTGTTGTGAAATCTCTCTTTCAGAAAAGTGGTGAATGAAAAGTGTTGATTTCTTCTAAAGCCTAAGTTAAATACTAATAAGACTTTATGCTGGGTAGCATGTACACTATGTATAGTCTGAAATGAACAAAATATGTTTACAAGTGTAATTGTAAAGGTCAATGGTGTACAAGGTCGAAGTTGACCAAGTCGGTAAACGTGTTGGAAACTCTCAAAGATACTAGATAAGTATCAAGGTGAATTGCAACAACATTTAATTTTACGTAAAGCCCCGAGAATGTTTTGGTTTAGTTACATAGTAGAACTTACATGTGGTGAGAATGTCTGTCGATGTGTCAAAATACAGACGCTAACGCACTCACTCAGCTGTTCGAGTTAAACGCATCGGCAGCGCTTTGTTTCCGATTTTGGGCTTAACACAAATAAATCTGTCTAAATTACAGAACCGTTTAACACCTTTACCAGCATATTTGCTTGATTTTCGCAGGAGATTGTACAATGCTTCGTTTTTATTTCCCAACTAATAATGTACTTTCATGTTGGTGTGTGTGTAGAGATTATTTGTATGAACTCAAAAAAGAATACAATCACCATAATTTAGTTGAAAACCATTGGTTATGGCTAGCGTGCAGTGGCGGCAAATCGCAGATTCCTAATTGATTCATATTAGTTACACGAGTGGGATTATTTTTGTGCTCAAACACCTAATGTTTAAGTGATTAGCTATTTGAGCACATGAGTGTAGTATAATTAATCGATTGAGTGCAGTGGTAATTTTTTAATTTTGTTTTGTTGCAAATAATGAGTTGGTTAGTGTACACTTACGGCTTAAAATATTCCGCAGAAGTTGATAGAATAATTTACAATGAGCTCATTATCCCTTTACAACACGATATATAGGGTAAACATTCTGTATTTTGTATGAATTGATACTACTTATTTTTTTTCCTAAATGCAAATACAAGTAAAAATGTATTACCATCTTCAAATAATCTTAATGGGAAGTGCTCACCTACACATTTAAATGTTTAATTTATTTTATCATAAACAACGACGCGAGATAATGCGTCATGTTAGAGTGTGAGTTGGATTTTGTTAGCCCGTAAACCACGATCGTTTCGAAAAATCTTCCATAAAGTGGATGGGAACAGCTCCAATTGTTGCTCGCGATGGCGGATGGACACATTCGGTTCTTCTTCGATACTCTGCCCCACAGAGGCAGACTCTGCTCGGCGATCAATAATGGACGCATAGCGCGACGCGTTGCGTGAGCCGAATTACTATTTTGGTAAGAAATTTGCACGATGTTTTTAATGTTGTTCCGGACTAAGTTTGTTGATAATGAAATGAAAAACCAAACTGACTGACCGTTACCACTGCCATAACAATACCGCTCACAGCCACGCCATATTATTAACCATATCCCCTCTCAAATAATTCCTATGCAGAGATTACTAAAAGTTCAGGTTTGCAAGCGCATCAATTTAAAAATTGGTCAGTAAGGATAAACAAGGAAGCTTTTTGTTTAGGTATTTTCCAGTCTGGTTTAGTATTAAAATTATGGCATATACTCGTAACTCCATAACTACGGGTTATCTTCGAGGCATTTGGTAAGACTTTGGCGCTTAGTGAGTGTGCGGTATATTTCTGAAAATGAAGAACATGCTGATATATTGGTCTAGCTACCAAATGTTATATGCAATGATTTCTTTCCCACAGACCTAAGGTTTTTCATTCGTTTCGCATAGTAGGATGTGGTTACAAAAAATATTCCCATTTATGGGAACATGCAACATAGATTAATGAACCATTATTTCCTGTCAGTAAATCTGGTTCTAAAAGTCGCGTTGGATTTATTTAAAGTTAAGAATCACATAGTATTTAAAGTCATGACCCTAATGATAATAGTCACGATTGCAACCCTCTCGACCTTTTCTAGCATACATCACCGCGTTTTCAGATTCTTTATATTTAGTGAGGGTGCAAGCCGAGATTTTTAATGTTATTCGGCCATGTGCCCAATCATGGATTGCCATCCAAGTCGTAAATCATAAAAATTCCTTATATTCTCCTGTTGTATTTGTACAGTTAAGCAACTTATGACTCTATATAATATATCATAATAATTTTATGCATGGAAGCACCGCTCTGAGTGCCCAAGGCGCGCTAAAGTTAGAGGACTTGAACTTTTACCAATTGCATACAGCAACTTTTGACCAAACAACGGTACATATAACACTTGGGTCTTTGAGGCATCTTGTTTTTTACGAACATAGCTACGCTCGTCTATTTATACAAGTATGTAGTTAAATTATATTGCTTTGCTGCAACAACCTGCCCGCGCACCGCTCTACGCACCTGCACATTGGAAAAATCAATAACCGAAAGCCAAAAATAGGATAGGATTGTCATACATGAATGCCCGCTGCTGCTCTGTCCCGCACCTTCTCCACCACCACTATTTTCAGTAACAGTTCAGTGTCATCATTCGCGTCATCATGCTGCATGCTTTTGTTGTTGTATCCATACCACATTTAATGTGCCTAGAAACTGTGCTGGACATTTAATGGGGTGGGTTCTACTGGCAATTATTCAATCAATTTTTCGCTGTATTAATATACTATATGTGTATGTGTGCTTCCTGACTACTGCATAAGTATGTGTGCATGGAATGGTGTATGTGTTTGCTATTATTTGTGTCACATCACCTGCCTTCGAAAGTTCTCTGTGTCACATTTACAGTTGATCCAATAATACATTGCCGCTGTTATTGCCACTTTGTATCGTACTCTCACACACACATGCACATACAAACAACACCATTTGCACCTACAGCCATACATTAGCACAATATACTGTAGCTAGTAGGTATCCTTATGGGCCAGCCAGCTTAGTTGGCGGCACTTTCAACAGGAAGTCCATGTTTGTCATTTTTAACACCATCGTCACTGTGTTGTTGTTTTTTGTTGTTGTACTTACATAAGCTGTTAAAGGTCTTTTTCATGGCATACTGTTCGTTTATAAATTATTTACATTCTGCACCCCTGCAAATGTACACACACACACACACGAAATCTTGTACAGATGCCACACCGCTGGCCACTTACCTGAGCGGATCCTTTATGTGTATATAACGGTCCATTGAGATGGCGCATAAATTCAAAATGGACGCCGTTGAGCACATCACATCGAAAGCGACCCAAGTATCACAAAATTGTGCGCCGAAAATCCAATAGCCTGCAAAACCAAAGAGTGGCAATTTTATTATTCATTTTGTGTTTGGAGAGAGATCACATTCAATTAATTCATATGAATATGAATGTATGCGGGCTTATACTTTTTTACTAATTAACTAGGAAACGTTTTTTTATTTTAATATCAAACGTTTTCTTAATGATCTTATAATAAAGTTAAATAATTGACTGAAAAGTTGTTAACGGTATTTTTCTTAATATTTTAAACATCATGGAATACCACACTTTTATAACTTGCGGTAAAAAATAACAGCTAAATAACATACAAACGTTAACCCTGTCACTTCTCAAAATCTCATCCGGCAGTATTTCACATGAAGTTGGGTCAACATTGGATCGTATGCTTTTTCTATTTAATTTATGTGAACTCAGTTTGTAAAATCTATCATTAAACTAATAATGAATAGTGTCGGCTCTAATTTTTATCGATAATGATCGAAAAACTGAACTTCGTTAGTATCATCTTTCTTTTAACAAAATAACACAGCGGGCAATACTTTATTATTTTAGGAATATAATTTTAATGCAACTTTTTTTGTTAGAGAGGTTTCGCATATTGGAATATGGGGTTTATAAATATTGTTTCAATAAATGTCAAAAGGAAATGCTTGCAGTATGTTTGGTTGTTATAGCTATAGTGGTTTTTGAGACGTGTAAACTAAACCTGTTAGAAGGCAGATTAGGCTCCACTTTAAAATACTTTAAACCACAGATGTCACACCTCACTGTAATCGCCTCTCCCCAATTACAGTTTTGAATCCTTTGCGGCTTAGTTATAGCACTTCAAAAGTTTTCGCTTAAAGGCGTTTTGTGGGCGTGACAATGACCCGATTTCGTTCACCCGCAATACTAACCAACAGAGTGGAATGGAGTCACATGTGTTGCAAGTTTGAATTTTCCGAAGATTCTTCAATTTGTACTCAAGTTATCGTACGCACAGACAGACGGTCGGACGGGCAAAGAGACATCCGGAGCTCAACTTATCTCAACATCCTGACCTTTTTGTATATTAATAATATGTCTTACTAAATCCAAGTCGTGCAAAAATTGAAGCCGAACGAACATAAATCGCGTCGCACGTTTAGAGATTGGGTCCATCCCGATTTTCACAAATGATGATAATTCACAAGCCATTTTGAGATGCCGTTGCGTCCTCAAAAGGTCACTGTTTGGTGTGCCCTATGGAGGGAATCATTGGCCGATATTACTTCAATAATGAAGCTGGCCATAATATTACAAACGAACGCAAAGAGAACGCTTTTTCTTACCGGAATTGGATGATGCTGATGTGGGCTACCTTTGGTTACAACAAGACGGTGCTACATGCCATACAGCCAACGAAACAATCAAGTTTTTTAAGGAAACTTTAGATGAGCGGCTAATATTTATACCAGCCAGCCGCGGCGGTCACTTGCCCGAATATCAAATATTCTTTATAAGATATTTGTTTTATTTATCTTCCAAACCACATGTCTAAAATAGCACCCTTTATATGCATTCAGTGTTTTTTAAATTAGAAGAGATTGCCAAACATCAGGAAGGATATAGAAATAACATACGGATTGAGGAAGCTTTCTACTCAGTAGAAGGGAAACCGCTGCATATCTTCCCTTTTTACCGTAATAACAATCATTCCATAATTTTGTTAAGCCATCATATTCAGAAAACATACATAATGGTTTTTTCCCCGTGGGTTTATGAGCCAGTTATTTAGATATCTTAATAATATTTTGTTGTTTGCCATTAGGATCCGGCGCCTAACCTGAAAAAAGCTACAGAAAAATTCATACAGCTCAAAAGAGATTTATTACAGGCTTTTTCGTTTAAATCTCAATTCTAATCAGTGTTAGATAATCCTGACCAGACAAGCGAACATATTTTATTTCAATATGTCCGGTTATCTCTGATCAGATTTGAATTACTATACTTGAATAGTTGCTTTCATTTCAAAGTTTGATAACATATAAAATATTTAATTATTTCTAAACATTTGAAACAATTATTTGGATAATCTGAAGGCCGGCACTCATTGAAGCAATCAACCGTTTTCCAAATGATTGGTTCGCAAGCCTAACAATATTATCGTGGATCAAAATTTTCCATTTGAGCCAACCACTGCTCGAGGACATGCATTCACAAAGACGTATCTTTTCGTTAACCACTATCACGCACATATGTTTTACACAATATCCTCATTAGTGCCGATATTAATTTGTTTCCTTTAAATCCTTGAAATGAGTTTCACTTACAAAATTAAGATGAGGGGGTCGGATATGGACAAAATATAAACAGAAACACGAAGCTTTTTTAAACAAGTTGAAAAAGGAGCTTAAAATGGAAATAAATTAAGCAATAAGGACAAGGCAAACAACGCCGTTACATTATTAAGGTTGTGTACATGTGTGTGTCTGGTACACATATGCAATTATGTGCGCTTATTTGAATGACAAAGCACTTGCCCTCGGCGCAGACGGACAGCCAGTAAATAAGGTTATTTGCAATTCATTGGCGGAGTAGAAGAAAAAAGCTGGTAAAATCTTGTTGATGTATCGCAAAGGCAAAAAAAAAAAAATAAAAAATCGAGCAATCGTGTGGAGCAGAAAGAAAATGCAATAAAAATCAGTAAAAGTGGCCAGCCCTATATACTGACATAATCGAGTTTCGATCCTTTATCATGCACTTGTACTATATACCGGCATGAAGGTGAAAAGTAAAAGTAGTACAAGAAATAATGAAAATTGGGAGAGGATATGCAGAAATATAGAAACTCTTTAGTGGTAAATGTAATAAATGACTTCCTTGCTTGATGATGACAAAATAAGCTGGCTTGTGAAAATAAACAGGATTTTATGTCCTTGCGCCGGTAATTGAAAGGTGAAAGTAAATATACACATGGATCCCTGTGGGTGTAGCTCTGTACACGAGAGCTCTTCGTGGCGCTGAGAGTAAACAGTTGACTCTGGCCCACAGGATGCAACGATGTTCAATAAACATAGGTACATGTGTGTAATTCTTATTATATTTGCATATGCTTTGCAATAATATCGTCGACAATCTGTGAATGGAGGAGAAACAGAATGTAATACAAGGCGCGTTCCAAAGTAAACAGGACTTTTAAAAAAAAGACAGAACAAATGGTTTTATCGACAAAATCAATTAATTTTATTCAAAATAGTCTCCTTCTGCTTTAATACAGCTTTTTGCACGGTCCAAAAGCATGTCGCACGAGTGTTTTAGCTCGTTGCCAAGTATGGCCGCCAGTATGCCGGTGCAAGCCTTTTGAATGGCCTCCACGTCGGCATAACGCTTTCCTTTAATCGGCAAAAGCATTTTTCCGAAAAGGTAGAAGTCGCACGGTGACATATCAGGTGAATACGGGGAGTGGTTGATTGTTAAAATGTGATTTTTGGTCAAATAATCGGCCACAAGCGTCGATCGATGAGACGGCACATTATAGCAGATTCTAACGTCCTAGTCGACATATAGATGGTGCCAGTAGAGTTTACTTTGTTACTATTTTACTGTTTACTTTGGAACGCACCTTGTAGGTCTGTCGTAGATGCATGGACTTTACATATGTACACAGCCGACCCTAACCACTCGTATATGAAACTTTATATTGAAAGGTATGAAATGACTAAGTTCGGGCGTAATTTTATACTCTTGCGTTTTGCACGGAACATAGTCGGAGAATACCTTCAGGTTTTGGAAAAATTTTATATTAAATTTATCATTTAACCACATTATATTTAAGATAGCTTGTCTATTTAATTTCATTGATTTTTTCTATCATTATACGTTCACTAAATTTTCCTAAGATATCTTACATACGAGGTGTGTTCAAAGGAAAAGGTGAATTTTGAATTTTGTTGAAAATTACTTTTTTATTTATCATGCGCTTTTCGGTACGGCCATCAGCTCTCTCTTTGATTCTGACTTGATCTCATTAATTGTCACAAAATGCTTTCCTTTAATTAGTTGTCGGATCGTTCTTGACATCATTCAGCAGCGCCTGAGCGATAATAATGCGACATTACTTTTGCTCGAAATTTTGCAATTTCGGAACAAACTACGCTGCGACACGTTTCATGCCCAAAACATTTGAGAAAAGTGAATGGCATGAGCCGATTGATATACCAACATCCTCTGCAACTTCCCTAATAATGATTCGACGCATTTCAAGAATAATTTTTTTTATTGTTTCGATGTTTTCTTCGCTTGTTGATGTGGTCGCCCCTTGGTCATCGTCATCAACATCTTCTCGGCCTTCTGTGAAGCGCTTGTACCACTTATAAACATGTTTTTGAGACAAAGTGGGCTCACCGAATGCCACAATCAACATTTCAAGTGCCTTGGAGCACTTTATTTCATTTTTAACGCAAAATTTAATACATATTCTTGGATCCATTTCTGTTAAAAGTCAAAAACGTGACTAACCTCTTCAAAAACAATCTACTAATCGAAATTGGCTCCTAATGCAGGCACATGCTAAACATATGTGTCCGATTAAAAGAAAAACAGAATATCGATAAGCGAATGTACACCACCTGCAAAAAATTAAAATTCACCTGTTCCTTTGCCCGTATAAGCAGTATGAGCGAACCGAAAATTTGAAATTCGTATATTTGGCACATAAGCGCTATTGGTATTGTTGAAATGATATTATCCATTTTTGGTGTCACGACATATTTTTAACACAAAAAGATGCTCTCTAAGTTTAATTGAAATAACTCATTTTTTTAGACAGTATATGTGTTAAAATTAACCGAAAGTCAAACTTTGTGTTATATAATAAGTCAAAGGGAAGTCTTAACCAGACTTTACTCATTTTCACAATTGAACACATTAAAATCGGGAACATTTTCTTTTTGAATTTCAATAATAAATCTCAAGAATGATCGATTTTTTCGGTAAAACGTCATCTAAAAACATTAGGGTCAACATATTTGGTGTCTGGAGGAATTTATGATCTCATTTCGACAA